TTTAAATCTTTAAAAATTCGGTCCAATAATTTATTCTGAGAGGTAATCCCTGAGAGTAATGTCTTATCCCATTACCAGCTCTAATTAGGTCAGTTAGTTCTTCTGCTAATTTTGCTTTTTTGTGTTGTTTTGGTAGATATTTTCGATCGTTTTGATTATTCCTAGAAGTATCTCTCTTGTGTATAATAAGTGGGTAACGTGTTTAAATTTGACCCTGTCAAATCCCCTCTTAACCTTTAAACGGGTAAACTTTTATTTGAAACGAAATATTAAAATGTTTTCATTCCATGTATTAAATATACATTAAACAATACTGAAAACAATTTATAAATTTTTATAGACGTTTACAAAAAAAAACAGTATGTGTTTTGTGGGATACATGATTTTGTTCAGAGAAATAGGCGAGGGATCTTTCCTGAGATTAGATTCTTTTTCATGAAAAATAATATGATCGAAGGTAGAGGATGCCATGTAAGTAAAACAATTTTATTACAGTTTATTCGTCTTCCGGGTTTGGACCGTGTCATTTGTGAGTGACCCAAAAGTGGGTTCATCTCAACGTTTCGCTACAATTGTATGTAGCTTCTTCAGGAGAACAAAAAAAGGAAAAAGAAAGAAAGAAGAAAACAAAAGAACAGGAAGATGGGTAGTTAGCAACGGTAACTCAGTTACTCAACGCAACCAGAGGCGAATACTAACTACCAAGATGGGCATTTGATCACAGTAACTCAACTACTCAACGCAGCCAGAGGTGAAAACCAAATGCCAGGACAGGGATTCACGTCCAACAGCTCAGAACACTAACGCGTCGAGAGGCGGGGAGTGAATCCGACGATTACTCCGCTACCGCTCTATTTATAGTCGCGGTGCCTGTCGTGTCGGGACGTATCGGCACACTTCGTGGCGCGAACGTCAAGAAGCGCGCGCTGGCCAATCATGTGGCTGCATCGTGGTGGCGGGACCGGACGGCGGTTCTAGACTGAGATTCCAGATGGGAGACAAGTAGTATCCTTCCTCTCGATTGATATTATGGGGATTTTTTCGGATCTCTAGAGATTCGCGGATTTTCCTGGAATAAAAGAAGGGGCTTTTAGAAATAATATGGGTTTTTTCGAACAATATGGAATGACCGGTTTCTTGGCAGTGTTCTGCAACTGCAGAATGGGAGAAAAGACCTGATCGAATGCATCTTTGATGCTCTTGAATCCGAGTTTTGACCGAACGACCAGTTTCGCCAATATACACATGTCCACATGAACAAGGAATAGAATAGACACCACAGGAAGATAGGGGCGGTAATGGATCCTTAGGAGAGGGTAGATATTGTGAGATTCTCTTGGGTGTTTGAAAAGTAGTCCTGATACCTTCTTTGGGAAGAATTTTGCCAATCCTATCAGTGACATTTCGAATATACGAAAGAAAAGCCACAGGAGTATTACCCGAAGATTCTGAATTTGTCGTCCTAGGGTGTAAAGGGGGATGTAGATATCGGTGTGTAATATTTTGAATTGTGGACTTGGAGTAACCGTTGGCGACAAGGGTTTTTTGCAGATGGCCAAGTTCTTCTCTAAGGTTGTCGGGTTCAGAAATCGAAATGGCCCGATGGATGAGAGAGTTGTTCACAGAATTCTTTTGGGCAGGATGGTGGTGTGATAAAGCATGTAGGTAACGATTCGTGTGAGTCTTTTTTCTATAAACAGAGTGACCCAATCGGCCATTGGGCTTGGAGGTGACTAACACATCGAGAAAGGGAAGGGACCGATTATTTTCTACTTCCATTGTGAATTTTATACTCGGATGTTGTGAGTTAAGATGATCTAGGAAGGGAGAAAGGGTATGTTGACCATGGAGCCAGATGATAAATGTATCATCAATGTAGCGGAACCAGACTTTTGGTTTTGAGGGGTAAGATTCTAGGGCTAAAGACTCAAAGGCTTCCATGAAAATGTCAGCAATGACAGGGGAAAGGGGAGAACCCATTGGTGTTCCAGATATTTGTTTGTAGAAATTGCCTCTAAAAGAAAAATATGTTGAAAGGAGGCATTTTTCCGCAAGATCTGCCAAAACCAAAGACTTGTTATCATTGGTCAAGTGATCTCGCAGAACAACTAGAGATCCAAACCCGGAAGACGAATAAACTATAATTCTGACTCTGGCCGTGGAAGCCTACGATTTCAATTTTATTACAGTTTGATCAAATTCTTTCCAAAAAGGTACCTGATTTTAAATAAAGGATCTTGGTTAGCATCTGCGCTGTTATTTTGGCAGTATGTTGTTAGTCTTTTTTTTATGGCCTAACATCTGCTCTAATACTGAAGCGTGTGTTTATTGATTAATAGTGATCAATAGTAGAGTAGAGATTCGTTTATTCTGAAATATATTGAATCATCCGAAAACGTTTAAAATTATTGCAAAGCCGTAAGTACATTAGGTGAAGCTTCATAATCACTTTCAATGGGAATTTTATGCGTTAAAGTCTTCTGTCACGCAATTATAGTTGCTCCCATGTTTTTTTTTCTATTTTTGGGTACTTTCCCTTAGATTTGAAATTCTACTGGATAATGGTCTCTCATCATCCGTGTCTCATCATCTCCATTTTGATGTTGCTCGATTGTTTCGCTAGGTAGTAGAGGAGGTGGGTCCTCTGCTTTTCTATAAAAACTGCTACATGGAACCGTAGGAAGCTGTAAAGAAAATTAGATAATATTTGGATTTCCTGTAGATTTTATGGGGTTGTATGTAATTTTTACAAATTATAACTATAAAATAGACATTCTCTTTAAGTATTTTCACTGCTTCTGTCTTTTCAAACTAAAAAAAAACAATGAGTAGAAGGCTTTTCATTGCTTTACAAAACTTTCTGTCTCAGTTTTATCGACCATATCATTACACAGCTAGAAACACACTACACATTATGGATTTCCTCACCGCTACACCTTACCATACCATATAATACGTTAGTCTGCTTGTATATCTCCCATGTAATGTTATCTTATAAACAGTTTTAGATGTATCTCATCAATGTATCTCATAGGATACAATTCTTATTAAGGGTTAATGTCCATGAAAAATAAATATGCGGGTTTGTTGTATTCTAACGATTTCTTTTGCACTTGCTTTATTATAATTATAGCGTCGGTACATGATCTTCGCGTCCTAAAACCTTGTTGTTCTTCTGCTGAGGTTATAATTTCATCTACATTTGTTATTATTTTCGTTGATAATTTAAGTGTTGTGTTTAATAAAAAAAATTGTGTAGTTCTCCGATTTTAATTTGTCTTCCTTTTTGAAGAGAGGTATTAGGATGCTTGATGTCAATCCTTGTGGTATTTTGTTTTGTTCTATTATTTATTGGATTTGTTTTAATAGTTATTTGGTCAGATCTGGTCCTCCGTACTTTAAGAGTTCGTTAGGTATTTGTTTAGGATTAAACTTGAGAGGTCGCTGGTTAAATTATATCAGATAAATAATTATAACGAAAAATGCAATATTGGTTGGTACATAAAATTGATGAAAATAGCAACTATAAATTGTAAATAAATTATGAAATCAACTGGTTTACTCATTATTGTTGTTTTGTACAAAGAATTATAAGGCTTACCCTTTGGTTCTACTGATGAGTTCGTACCAGGCTGATGAGTTGGTCGGTGGTACCGACGCTAGCGTCGCCGTCGCCCGAGGCTCAGCACGAGAACCGTCCGGAACTATATGCGTGTCGATCGATCGTTGTCTGACGAAGAAGTGGCAATCTTGAGGGTTTAAGAGCGTTTCGGGCACAAACCACCCTCTGGTTGGATGGTCAACATCTCGTAGGCCGGGCATGCCATAAATCAACCGCTTGTTTCAATCTTTGTATTTGAATCTTTATCTTTGGCTGAATGGCTATGTAAATTGGACATTAATATTTAGTGTCATTCATTCTATTTGTACTATTTTTAGTGTTTGAATAATATAAATAATATATATGTGTATATTATTGTAATGGTATTTGTATATTTATCGTACTGTTAAAGTCCATACGCTAAATAAATAAATAAAATCTTTATCTTGAATACAAAGGAAAAAGCCAAATTCTCCGTATTCACAACATCATAAATGAGATATCCAGTTTAAGTTTTATGAGACAACAGGAAACAATATATTTCAAAAAGGTCTTTTAAAATACAGCACCAAATTAGATCACATTACAATACCGTAACAGAAAAAATATTAACTGTAAAATTATGAAATGAATTCGCACATACTTTCCCAAACAATTTCGGCATCTGATTTTCTATTTTTTAATTTTCTTAATGCTTCCTTTCCCTTCTGAATGTTTATTTCTTCGTTTGTCGTCACTTCTGGTGTTGTTGGTTTATTATCGTTACCTTCAGCAAATGAGATCGAAAGTTTATCAGAGATGTTATTAAATGTTATATTTGCGTTTACTCTATGATTGAAAACTCTATTTTTGTATTTTGTTTATCTATTCGTAGTTTATTATTATTTTTCAGTAAATAACTGAATAAATAATATAGTTTGCATAGTACAAACATATTGCATATTACAAATTGAAAAATTTAAATTTTTCAAAAATTTTGTTTTCACTTTAAATATTATTACAAATACGAACAGTTACAGCACACTTTCTTATTTTGTTTTAAGGTTTTTATGAAAACTCTTCCTTTGTGTAATACCTCTTCATTTATTATCTATAATCCTGCTCTGTGGAATTTGTGAATATTAAATAGAGAACATAAACAAACATTCTCAGAAGAAACCGAACGGCGTCAAAGCACATGTTATATCAGACAATAATATTCATCATCCATCCATAAATTTAGATGCCAGAAAATTTTAAAATATTTTAAATTGTTACTTCGTTGTAGGTTTTTTATTGGAGATTTAAAATATGTATATTTATTCAGTCTTATTCAAATTTCAATACATTATGAAATCATCCCGCTTTTGCTTATTACAATATTGATATTTATTTTATTTGATTTTTTTTTTGTTTTCAGAGAAATCGAAATATTAACGACCAACGAAACAATTGGCCGAGCTCCCGAGCCGATCTTGGGTGTTGGAGTACGGCAAGCTGGTAAACTAGTAACCGGGGAACTCAATGTATCACCAGGAACCCCTTTGCAAATGGAAATTTTCTTGGATAATGTATCAGCACCGATTTATGGACTACTAGTGACTCACATGCAAGTAACTGATACGAAAACTCAGGAAGAAACTATTATTTACAACGGGTAGGTTATATTGTGGCATCATTTTCATTTATGTATCCCTTTATGCAGAACTTGTTTTAAAATAAATGCTTTTTCTAGTGATATTTCTGTAACTATACGAACGACAACGCTAACTCGAAAAGAGTTCTCGATATAATAAAATAAAAATAAATATAAAAACGTATGTCTTAATAAAATTTAACATTTCACACCTAAGATATTTCAACTTAAGATATTATAGCCTTCTTTCTTGATGTCCCGCTTCTTCACCATCTACTGTTTGGACCACATCCTCTTGGGAACCTGGTTATTTCTGGCATGGACTCCTTGACTTCCTTTTCTGTAGATACTTATTTTTGGCTCCATACCTACTTTCCTGATCAGTTGTCTTCGGCAACCACCCGGCTAGACCCTGATCAGATAGTCGATCAGTCGATGTTTTTCTTTGTAAATCCTCTGTATTGGGTTCTTTGCGAGGATGTCCCTGGTCTTTAGAAGCCTTTTGTGGCTTGATGGGAGAAGTATATTGTCCTATTCTTGTATAAACTGGAGTCTTCTGATGGTTGTGTTTGTTCTTCTGTCTTCTCCTTGACCCGTCGATTATTCTGTAGCATGATTTTTCTGTTCTTTTCAGTTTCTTCCAGTTAGTTTTTGACGTAGATTACCATACTGGGACTGCAATATCACTGATCTCACATATGCCTGAGAAAGTTGGATTTTCTTGGCCGTCGATAGTGGGCTGGATATAAAAATATAAAGTTGTATTAGTCTTTTTGCAGTATTAGCTTTTACCTTGACTTGTTGAGTCTTATTCGTGAAGTTCAGTTTCATGTCGAGATGCACTCGTAGGTATTTGACTGATTCTTCTAATTGGATTCTGTTTCTTCCCATCGTGAGTTACACTACTGTGAATTTTTCTCCTGTATAAACATGATGAATTGCGTCTCTTTGGTGTTGATCTTGATGTTCCATTTCTCCGTGAAGTCTACTATTCTTACTGAGTAATTTTCTATATTTTGGACTATTCTTTTGTCGTTTTTTTGTATTGCATAAATTACCGTAGTATCATCTGCATATAAGGGCTGTAATTGTTCTTGCATCTTGAAACAAAAATGTTGTTTAAAATGGGCGACAATATACTATGCCCTGCGGCGTCCTCTCTTGGATTTCTTGTATCCTGGACATCTTTTGGTTAGCTGAAACTTGAAATGTTCTATTACAGAAATATCTGCCACATATAGGTATTAACTAAATATTAAGGCAATCTAGCTCTGTCCAACTTGTAGATGAGAACTTTCTTTAAAACCGTGTCATGCGCCTTTCTGATGTCTACTTCTGTTTTCTGTTGAATCTGATCTTCGTGTCACTGATGTTTCTTGCTAGCTGAAGTTTGCAGTTTCTTTCTCTTTTAAATCCGAATTGGTCTTCTTTGATAACTCTTCTTCCATCTGGATGCTTCATTAATCTTCTGTAGCTTTCTGATCTTCTTCCGTGATTCCATGGTTTTAGTAGAGAAATAATTGTAGCATGTTTCCAGTCTTTCGAAAAATGCGCATTTTCTAAGCAAAATCTGCAAATGTAGTAAAGTCGTACTAAAATTTTCTTTGGTAGTTCCTTGAGAGCTACGTTGTGGATGCCTTCTACTCCGGAAGCTCTGCTTCCTTTCAACCTTGTGAGTATGAGTTTAGCTGATTCCGTTGGATTTAGAAAGTCTTCTTCCTCTACTAAAAATGCGTTTCTTCTATTTATTCTCTCGTTTTTGGTGTTGACCTCTTCGATGTTTCTTGCATTCGTCGTCTATTATTAGGGCATCTTCTGTTGTCCTCTCTACTTGGCATTTAGCATTTTCCTTAGGTTTCCATCGTTTTCTTCTGCTCTTCTGATGTTGTTGTACTACTTGTTTTAGGTGAGATTTCTAAGTATGGTTCTTATTTCTTAGGATAATTCGTCTTCGTAGTCCTTGAATTCCTGTCTTCTTGTCCTTAACTGTTCTTCTGGTCCTGTTTCTTCCCTTTATGATTTCTTTCAGCTCGTTCGGAATGATCAATCCTCTGTTATTCGTTATTTCTCTTATAAGGTTGTCTTCAATGGCTTGTTGAATTTTCCTTGTGATTTATTTGATTTTTCTTTCCACTTCTTCTACTGGTTGGAATTCTTTCTTTACCTGCATTTGGTTTAGCTGTCTTCTATAGTTGGGCCAATTGAATTCGTTCTATTTTGATCTTTCTGCCAATTCGACTGTTGGGAGAAAGTCATGCTTGTTATCACTGATTTGTGGTTAGAACTGCATTCGTAATGTGTTCTTGAATCTTTCATAACAACATATTTGATGATGAATAAGTCAAGCTATAGCTCTTTTTATTTTTTAATATTTTCATTTTATTAACAGTACCACTTAGGCCTTTCTTATGTTAGTTTATTGTCAATATACTTGTACAATGTTTTATATTATATTTCCATGATTAATTTATAATTTTATACAATTTTACGGGGTTCTGGACTTATCAATTACATATTTTTCTATCTGTGAAGATACTTACATTTGTTATGAAGCTCTAATTTAGATTTATTCTTGAGGTATTCTTTAGTTTACTTCACCGCTTTTTAATATTGTTCTGAAGCTATTTTCTTGTGGCATTGTAAATTAATTACTATTAAACTGGGAATAAGCCACAATTAAAGATAAAAATACGTTTATTGACGTTTTAATTTCCACTTCGGAAATCGTTCTCAAAATACAAACAGTAAATTTGTATTCTCAAAATAAAAACTGTTTGTATTTTGAGAACGATTTCCGAAGTGGAAATTGAAACGTCAATAAACGTATTTTTATCTTTAATTGTGGCTTATTCCCAGTTTAATAGTAATTAACCGCTTTTTAAACTAGAAATTTTACAGAAAACCTATTGAATTGTCTAATACAGTAACAGATCACAAACAGATCACAAAAATAACAAACGAGTAAGTTGCAAGTAAACAAATATTAAAGTTTTATGGAATAGCAGAACTAGAAAGAAAGATCAGCATTTTAAGAAAGATGTCTTGGTTGCGAAACTGAAGGGAATAGTTATCTTGCAATTAGTTCTATCAACTTCTGCAAGAAGTAGCCACGAGAGTTAAAATAGCCATGATTATAGTCAACATCCATAGCTAATATGGCACTTAGAAAGTCAATAATATTAACAGAACCACTTCTAAATTTCTAAATGTTAAATAGTATTTTTCAAAAAATAAATAAACAAATTTTTTAGGTGCTCCATAGATCCATATCTATTTGAAAATTTCAATACTGTCGATGGAGATTTCCTGTCTGCTAAATTCAGAGCCTTCAAATTTCCAGAATCTACTTACGTACAATTTAAAGGAACAGTAAACGTGTGCCTGGATAAATGCAAAGGGGTAAGATATTGCATGGAATAATCTTAATTAGATTTATTAACTGTTTATGTATGTTTTTGTTAATTTTAATAAATATATCGTTTTTAGGTGGAATGTAGTGATGGTCAAATCGGATACGGTCGAAGGAAAAGAGCTATTTCTGAAATACCAGCAGATCCGAACAAGATATTTGAAATTACCATTACGTCTTTTATAAAAGTGGGATCCGAGGTATCTGTTAACGAAGCGAGTGATGAGAAAACTTACAATAATAAAAAGTTTATAGTTGGAAATCAGATGACTGAGAGAGACATTGTGAAGGGTAAGTATTTATGAACTTCTTCTTTTCATTGTGTCTATTTATTTCGAGTATTGGCAATCATTATAGCAATCTGTATACAATTGTCGGTTGCATGAAATAGAAATATTATTGATCTACTAAACCATACACGCAGATCATAATTTGATTTTAATCCACAAAATTTTAGGCCCTTAACTACTATCATTCATTATAATATTAATTAAAGAATTTTTATCCTTTATAATTTTATATAATGTGGCTAAGATATTTCAATTTTGATTTTGTTATTCTTATTAATAATTATTTTTCATTGTTTAATCTTGCACCATGACTTGTCGATTAGATATGTTATTTATTTGCCACATTATGAGATTGCGTTAATAAATTCATCTCAACCAGTTTTAATTTTCTTCTAAATAGCATCAATAAGAGTCAAAGACTTTACTTGTGAAAAAACAGCATCTCAACAGTTTAGTTTTTATGATTAAAGCTAGATCGTGACACTTAAACAGTTAATTACTATTAAACTGGGAATAAGCCACAATTAAAGATAAAAATAGGTTTATTTACTGTTTGTATTTTGAGAACAATTTCCGAAGTGGAAATTGAAACGTCAATAAACGTATTTTTATCTTTAATTGTGGCTTATTCCCAGTTTAATAGTAATTAATTTACAATGCCACAAGAAAATAGCTTCAGAACAATACTTAAACAGTTATGGCACTGATCAAAGCTTGTCTTTTTAGATCTATCTGTAATGCGTTATTTTTAGAAATAATTTTAATAAATAACTTATTAGACCAATTGTGGGAAACTCATTACACAATCTAGCATTTTGTTTCGTAGGCAGTGTTACAAATGCAGATTTGAATTGTTATAAACACTTCATCAAGAGTTTGTTTTATAGCTGAAAAAATCTGATCATCGATTACAAATATGCTTTCAAAAAACACTTAATGAAATATAGTTGTGCAAAAAAAAAGACGACGATGCAGCAATTATTGCCGAATCAGAAGATGATCTCCAAAGGCAGCTCTTTCAGTTCTTTCAAACAAGCCGACTACTAAATATGAACATCTCTACCAACAAAACTAAATGTATGACAATAGCAAAAGATCCGCTCAGATGTAAGTTAGTGGTTGAGGACAACCCCATAGAACAGGTGATGCAATTCAGATATCTGGGCATAGATATATCAAGCACCCACGACCCAGTAAAGGACCTGAGGAGTCAAATCAACAAAGCATCTGCACTGTCAGGATGTCTGCGGGAGATAGTCTGGTCAAATCCGTATATGCGCACAGATAGTAAAATTAGAATCTATAAGACTTGCATACGACCGATCATGACATATGGCATAGAAGTGCGCGAAGATACCAACAAAACGAAACAGATGCTAAGGGTTGCCGAAATGAAAACCCTAAGAACAATAATGGGGAAAACAAGAAGAGACAGAGTGAGAAATATAAACATTAGAGAGCAGTGCAAAATTCAAGATATTGTAAGATGGGGAAGGCAGCGCAAGAGGATGTGGTACAACCATGTAAGACGAATGGATGAGAATAGACTCCCAAAAATTGCCCTAGAAAACAATCCGCCCGGTTCAAGACCCCCCGGAAGACCACCTAAAAGATGGAGGGATAGTTGGCAATCTACCTCCCAAGAAATTAACCAGAGGCAGCTTCAGAATTAAACAGATCGAAAGATCTACAAAAAGTAGAAGAAGAGAAGAAGAAGAAAAAAAACTTAAGCAAAACATAGTATCTTCTTCTTCTTCCTATTCTTCTTTTTATGTAGACATGACTCTGTCTGTTTTTCAATGTGCGTCCAGTAAGTTGTCGTTCCATCTTCCTACTGATCTTCTTCCTATTGGGGAAACGTCGCTTGCCGTCTTTACTACTCCATTTGCTTTCATTCGGCTTGTATGAACGTTCTATTCTATTCTTCTATTTCTTACCCAGTTCTTAATGTTCTCCACCTTGCAGCTACATCGTATATCTGTACTTCTAGCTCTGTCCCATAGTGTCTTACCATCAATTTTTCTAAGCGTTTTCATCTCTGCTGTTTCTAACATTCTTTTTGTCTTATCTATGTCAGGTCGTGTTTCAGCAAAACAAGTATAAACAAAAAATTTAAAAGAGATAAGTACAAAAGGAAGAACACAAATGGGAGAAAGAATAGGAAGAACTCAAAAAAAACATTAACACTCATGGAGAATGTATAGGAGAAGATCGATAAAGAAAAAATACGAAATAAATTAATCATATCAGGAATTTGGGTAGACCTAGTAGATGAATAAAAACTAAAAGGAGACATACAAAAAATGATGGAAAACGAGCTTATAGAAACCAACAGCTGAGAAGACAAACAGAAAATACTGTAAGTAAAAGTGCTGACGTCCACGAAAGCAGATACAAAAAAAACAGGAATATGGAGGAACGGCTTTTATAGTGGTAGGGGAAATGGGACGTAAAGTTATGGAATTTAAACCCATAAGTGAAAGAATATCATTCAAAAAAGTAGCAGCTAACCGAACAAGTTGTCCATAATAAATGTCTATGCACCCACAAAAAACAGTGATGACTTGACAAAACAACCGTTCTATCAAACACTAGAAGAAAACTCCGAGAAAATCCTGGAGAAAGATATACTAATCATTATAGAAGATTTCAAGGTCCAAATAGGCAAAGAAAATTGCTTTAGAGAAGTTGCAGATAAAAACTCAATACATAACACAACAAATAATAATGAAGAAAGACTATGTTATTTAGCAGCGGCATTAAACATGGAGATAAGTAGCACAAGATATAAATACAAAGCCATACATTAAATAACATGGATGAGACCAGGAAGTCTAGAGGGAAATCAAATAGACCACTGATTAACGAGACACACAAACGATCAATCAATGACTTTAGATCCACAGAGGGGCCAACATCGATTCGGACTATAATCTAGTAAAGCTTTTTATTTATGTGATAAAATAAAAACAACGAAGAAAGTAGACGAAAAGCTCAAAGACGATGGGATGTAGATAAAATGAAAGGGAAATAAGCAAAAATAAGATTTATAAAAGAAGTAAATGCAGAGATGGAATTCAAAGAACAATAACAGGAGAAACAGTGGAAAAAATCAAACAAGGAATAAACAAAGCAGCGGAGAAAGTTATTGGCAAAAAGCAAAAATATAGGAAATGCACTAAAAGAAAGAGAAGAATGGAGAAAAGTAGTGAAAACAGTGAAGTCAAACCAGAAACTGTAAATTCAAAGCCAGAATGCCGAAAAGTCGAAGATTGAGATTAATTTGCAATGTTTATAGCCAACCTTCATTAGTAGAGTAGAAGAAGAATAACCTTTTATCATACGTAATTTTACTTTTTAAGTATGTACATACTTATTTAAGTACATATATAATTGTTTCGATATCATTAAAGTGCAATTTTAATTCTCCGAATATTTTTAAAAAAAATTATTTCACAACTTCGTTGTTGTTTCAGATCAAGGATTCTTCAGAAGCGACCCAGTCCAGGAAGTCCTCGAACTTAAGGAAGAAGAAAAATACACTTCAATAGTCGCCGAGAACAATGCTTTCGTTCCAGTGATAGCAATGTCAGTCCTACTGCTAGGAGTTTTCCAACTAATTCTGTAAATAACTACAATAGTGCAGGCTCAAAATTATTGTAATTTTATCTAATGATTGTAAATATATCTGTGATAATGTGATGCGAACAAACAAATAAGTGTGAATGTGATCGAAAAGGTTGCAGGAAAAAAAGATTTATCGAAAAATAAAGTTGTAAAATGGATGAATATAAAAAGTTAAAGCTCAAGAAACGAGACCCAAAACGATATTGTCCTGACTGACATTTATTTTGTAGAAACAAATGTTAAATATTACTTTCTTTTAGCTATATAGTATTGAAGACCTCGGATTTGCCCGATTATTAATGTTAATTATAAAATTTATTTCGATAATATTATATGCTTCTTTAGAAAGACGGTTGGCTGAAAGACAAAGGTTGGCCTTCATTATTACATATTAATTTAAGTATCAGTTTGTTTCTCCACCACAGCTGTATCATCACTGTAAATAAATTATTTAGTTTGTTGGTATATGGTTTGGTTGTTTGTATAGGTTGTATAGAATCAGCGCACTTTCGTAAGGGTGTTGATCTCTCCACCGACTGTTCCTGGACATGAATGTTACATAGAAGCGTCTGTTTTGGAGAAGTCATTTCACCAACCTTGTGAGTCGTAAACCCTTCGTAGTTTTGTAGAGTTGTGCCAGCAGCAGTTCTTATGGTTAACTGAGTGCCTTCTTCTTCGTACGACTAGGATTACTCCTGTTTATCTGCCTCTTATTCTGTTTCAGTCGTTGTTGAATGTAAATTATCTTTCCACCTTTTTTGGCGGCCTTCCAACGGGTCTTCTGCTATACGGTTTGTTGTTTTTACAGATGTTTGCTAATCTATCCGGTCCCATTCGGTTTACATGTTCGTTCCAGTTTTTTTTTTTCTTGTTTTTATACACCTGTTAATATTTTTACTTTTGCATTGTTCGCTTATACTTCTGTTGGTTTGTCTGTCTCTTAATGATATGCCTGCTAATGATCTTAATACTTTCATTTCTAACTGAGTGCCCCAGTTATAAAATATCGCACATTTTCATCTGGCCTAATATAAGGTTTCTTTCTTCTTTCACTTAACAGTCGAAAACCTATGATAAATTAATCTGATAACTCGATTTATGGAAGTTTTTTGCCCTTCAATTACTTCAATGGATAGTGAATCTCTTAAAATCTATGACTAATGATTTTTTGAAGAAGACAGTAGAGCAATAGATATTGTTACCAAGAAAGTTGCCTTGATATGTTGTACTTATTTTTTTCCAAATCAGTTTTTGTCAAGCTTACGTTCTAAAGTTTGTGCCATTTGCCTTTTGTTTCATTAAAGCTGATTCTCTGTATCACGTTTTCCCAAAGCACATAGTCTAGATTCTTTCTTTTTTTCACTCACTTTACTTGGTACTACTGTAAACACTTAATCTTGGTGTAAAAATATTTCTTCGTTGGAGATTCTCAACTAATTTTTGATTTACTTCTGGTGACTGGTATCCCGAAATCCTTTTATGTGTTTTTTAATAAATCCTTCCAGTGATATGTCATAAAGTTTCTAGGATTCTGATATTTGTTGTATTATTTTTTTTGTGAATTTTTCAGCCACCATTAGGCTGTATTTCTTGTAATTTTTTGCGATGTATTTTTCCAGCTATTTCACATAATCTTTAAAAAGTAAATTTGAGGTACACCTTTTTATTTCTTTTATTGATATACTTCATGCCTAGAATTATCCAATTATTATTTGATAGACATTTTAAACTTTTTGGTTTACTGAATTTACATTGTAACTTGACTTTGAAGTGCTTTCAGATCCAGAAATTATGTAACTCTTACATCCTACATTTTAAAATGCCATTTACAGCAAAAATGCGCAAGATGGGTTCCGGCTGACAAACTTTCTATATTTTGTGACATATCTGACTACTGTAAATTGTGTGTACGGCAAAATATGGGAAAATTTCCTGTTGTAGCTCATTTCAATGATACTTGTAAAACCTCTTGTTGACGAGCGCATTGTCAGCCGAGCCTGATCGGCGCAAAATCGAAGATCCGTGTTGACAACTCCGGTGTATAATGTAAGTAGTAACTGATACAATAATTATTGATCAATATATATTTTATCTTATTAATTTTTATAAACCTGCACTGTAGCTCTACCCGTTCTAGTTAACAAAAGTCTATATCTTACAAGAGTTTACTGTTGAAAATCTGTTCGGATGTAGAAAGACGAGTGAGAACCAGACTGCAATAAATTCATCTATCGATTAAAATCAATCGATCGTGCTGCGTCGATATCCCATATAGCCACTTTAAGGACTATGTTGGATTTTTGCAATATTGTAGAAACTTCGCTGGTTAGAACGCTAGAAATATTTTAGGCAACTTTTCACAATAAAACCTTTATTTCACGAACACAACTTACACGAAACTGATTGGATTCCTAAAGGGAAGAGCCACTTATGTTTGTATGTAACTTATATGTGTGTTTTTTTACTATCTACGTACAATTTTTTATTGACGATTTTTATAACGAACCTTGACTAATTAACGACTGTGTTCGGCAGAAAAACGGATGTTAACAAGAGCTCCCGGGTAATGTATTAATTTCTCGAAAAACAATTTTAAAAAAGCAGTTGTCTACAGTTAAATGGGTTCAAGTACACACGATTGGTATAATACATGAATATTATAAACTAAGTGAGTTCAGCTTCGCATTTGGGTATATAAAAACTTGTGCTTTATATTCTAAAACATTTGTTTTCAGCAATAGTAACAAACCTTTATATTGTTGGTACTACGTATTGTAAAGATACATTTTTATCGGAGTTTATAGGCCATTTCAGAAATTGTTCTGAACAAACAGATTACAAACATGGCCCATAAACACCGAAAAGCATGAACCTCTAAAAAAGATCTTAATTGTGTACTTAATTATGTAATGGTATCAAATATATTTCTTAAAAATTGTTTTTTGAAAGACACCTAACAGTGTCAAATTGATAATTTTCGATAAATCCCGATAAGTTTTTCCGCTCCCTTAATTAGTAGATCTGCACTGTACGGAAACAAAAATAATATTAATGAGTTTTTAACTAAAACTGCCAACTATTTTTAACTAATACCGAATAATGTAAAACTGCCTTCTAAATAACAATTAAAAAAATAGCAAAACGATTTTACCATCGCTACCTAGGTATTGAGTAATTTTATTTTTGATGTTACCGTTACCATGAAATCAATCATAAAAAATTCTTAGTAGAAAAAGAAACCGAATATATTCGGTGCTATATTTTTTAACTTTTTTATGTGTTACATATAATTCTTTATTAGATGCAAAAGCTGGCAAATATCTTGAACAACAAAGAAATGTTTTTGGACAAATATCGAAACCAAAAAGGTAAAAGACTGGTACTCAACATTGCGTTATTTAAATATAGCACTTAACGTTTACGCTGCACCAAGCCTTTGCTTCACAAAGTACCACCACTAGCCTAAAAGAGATTTTACTGTGGTTTTTATGCAGCTGGATAGTCAATTAAGACCACCACATGGTTAAACACTTAATAATCGGCTACCGACTTACATGTACTTACATACTGGAGGAAGTGTGGCAGTGAGATCCATCAATCTCGCTCCTCTGCATATTTTGAGCCGTCCTTAGCTTCCACTCAGCCGTGATTACCTCACAGCATTAGCAATCACGACTGAGAATAAAGAGCTTCATTTCAACCAAAACACAAGGTCGTACGGCGCGGCGGTCGAGAACATCTAATTGTGTATATTGTGTAACATCTACTGATTTCCGATACTCTGTTAATTAATATCGCTATTTTGAAAAGCTGAAATGTCTGTGACTTTGGTTAGTCTATGTTTTCTGTTCATGATCACCCTAGGTGCTACAACTCGTGGTAATTTTTGGCCTCTTTCACAACTCGCCTCGACTCCTCTCGTCGTTGTCCCCTAAATAATGATCTGTCTTCTTCTTCTTCAGCCTTTATTTATCCAATGTTGGACATAGGCCTCCTCAAATTGCTTCCACGCTTCCCTATCTTTTGCAATTCTCATCCACTGCTTTCCATCTACAGCAGTTATATCGTCTATCCATCTCTTTTTAGGTCTTCTCACGTTTCTTTTTGTTTCTTGAGGTCTCCAGAATGTCACTTTATGAGACCATCTGTTGGTGTCTTGTGTGCAACCCCAGTACATGTGCTACCCATTGCCATCTCAATGTCGCTATTTTTCCCATGATGTCGGTTACTTTAGTTCTTCGACGTATTTCGGTATTAGGAATTTTGTCTCTGAGGCTTGTATTTAACATGGCCCTCTCCAAGGCCCGTCGAGTTACTCTTAATTGTTCTGCCATTTTTCTTGTTATTGCCATAGTTTGCAATCCATAAGTTGCAACTGGTAGTATACAAGTGTCATAGGTTTTTCGTTTTAAGTGTATTGGGATTTTTCTGTCTTTTAAAATGAAGCTCAACTTACCAAAAGCAGCCCATGATAATTGTGTCCTTCTTTTAATTTCTAGGGTTTGATTTGCCTTTTCGTTTTTAATTGCATGTCCTAGATATATATATATATATATATATATATATATATATATTATATATATATATATATATATATATATATATATATATATATATATATTGTTTTACCTTTTCTATATTGATGTTATCTATCGTGATGTTTTCTAGGCTGTTGCTTAATATCTTTGTTTTGTCGAGATTCATTTTTAATCCTATTTGATTCGATTTGTGATTTAAATCTTGTAGCATTGATTTTAGTTCATGGATATCTGTGCTTATTAGTACTATGTCGTCTGCAAAACGCAAATGGTTAAGATATTCTCGATCTATTTTTAATCCATTTTCTGCCCAATTTAGTTGTTTGAAAACATTTTCTAATGCCAAAGTAAATAACTTGGGTGAGATGGTGTCGCCCTGTCTCACACCTTTGCCAAGGTCTATTTTCATAGTTTCCAGATCATCATCTATTTTTACGTGAAAAGTAGCATCATCGTATATATTCTTAAGGAGGGCAGCATATCTTGAATCTACTCTGGCGTCGTCCAATGCTGTTAAGAAAGCCCATTTCTCGATACTGTCGAATGCTTTGTGATAATCGACAAATGCCAGATGTAGTGATATATTGTACTCTATTGTTTTTTCAATAATGGTCCGAATTGTTTGCAAGTGATCGATAGTGCTAAAACCCTTACGAAAGCCTGCTTGCTCCACTGCTTGGTATGCATCTAGTTTAGCTGTCAATCTATTTGTTATTATTCGGGTTAGTAGTTTGTAAAGGTGTGACAATAAGCTTATTGGTCGGTAGTTTTCTATATTTGCGGCTTCCCCTTTTTTATGGAGTAGAATGACTTCCGCATTTTTCCATGTCTTCGGTATTTGTCCTTCCAATAGGCATTTATTAAGTAATGCTCTTATTGCCTCTTCTAATGCAGTGCCTCCCATTTTTAGCATCCCTGAATTATTTTATCTTCTCCTGGTGTTTTCCCATTTTTCATTTGTTTTAGGGCGGCTGTAATT